GTGATGAATTTAGGTGCACCACTACCTCAGACTGTCCGATCACCCCATCCAGCACTCACTGTCAGTGCTCATTTCGCAGAAGATATCAGCTCCCATGCAGGCACATGCTGAGGGTGCGCCAGATGATTCTGGGGTTGGATCTGTTTGAGGACACCCTCTTCAGTTTCAGATGGAATATGGGTAGCCAGCATGTTCCAGTGACCCGACGTAACCCAACTCTGACCCTTCAGAGTGCGCCCAGGGGGACACGGACCCTGACACAGCACGAGCGCTACAGAAGAGCTTTGGCTATCGCTAACCAGATAGCATCAGTAGGTTCTGAACTTACAGGCGATGTGTTCGATGCCATTACCCAGGCTTTAAAAGACACCCTGGCCATCCTCAAGCAAGGTCAGATGTATGCACCTGTCATCCTGCATAATGCAGGCAGTGGTGATGCCCATTCCTGCGCGAATGACCTCGATGCAGGTGTGAATGCCGACTTGGAGTCACAGCCTTCAGATTCTGCTCCAGAGCAAGGCGTGTCTGGAGATGGAGATGTCTTCTCTTCAGGATTTTCTAGCCAGAGCGCAGCTGGAGATACCCGCCCCGTCTCCCCGCAGGCAGCTCCAGGCAGGGTGTGGCTGCAGAAGCGCGCTCCGTCTCCTCAGGATCTTCTAGCCAGAGCGCAGCTGGAGATACCCGCCCCGTCTCCCCCGCAGGCAGCTCCAGGCAGGGTGTGGCTGCAGAAGCGCGCCCCGTCTCCTCAGGATCTTCTAGCCAGAGCGCAGCTGGAGATACCCGCCCCGTCTCCCCCGCAGGCAGCTCCAGGCAGGGTGTGGCTGCAGAAGCGCGCTCCGTTTTCTCCTCAGGATCTTCTAGCCAGAGCGCAGCTGGAGATACCCGCCCCGTCTCCTCCGCAGGCAGCTCCAGACAGGGTGTGGCTACAGAGGCGCGCTCCGTTTTCTCCTCAGGAATTTATAGCCGGGCGAGGCCGAGGAGGGCCACCAGGTCCCTCTCCCTGACAGTTCCGAGCAGGTCTCTTTTGGTGCTGGTTCTGACTATGTCACAGATCGAGGCATAAGGCGCCTGGGGCATATCACCGAACTGGAACATCTGGAGGAACCCGCCAAGATCACCAAGAACAAGGATCGGCCGCGCAGAAGCACGACAACCAACGTCATCAGACTGACAAAATTGAAACGGAGAACTCCAAGGACCTTCCCAGATCTGCTGTTCCACGAAAAGCAGAATGGTAAGTTACGCAGTTTCGCTGTTGATAGCTCATCGCATTTGCAATAGCTGCGATGCGACGACTTATAATGGGGATATTACATGTCCAGTGATGGTTGACACCTCTCTTTCGCTCTCCTGCCCTCGCTCCCTCGCTCTCTCACCCTCGCTCTCTCGCCCTCTCAACCTCGCTCTCTCGCCCTCGCTCTCTTGCCCTCGCGGTGCCGCCCTCGTTCTATCGCTCTCTATCGCTCTATCGCTCTTTCGCCTTCTCTCTCTCCCCCCCCCTCTCTCTCTCTCTTTCTCTCTCTGTCCCTCCCTCCCCTTCTCTTTCTCTCTCTGCGTGCCAACGGTGAGTGTATTACCAAAAGCGCAGGCCAATCTGTGGCTTCAAGTTGACCGGCCCGCGCCTGCGAGCGTAAAACAGCTGCGCCTGCTTCAGCGTGTAAGGAGTTGTTTTCCGGGACCTACAGCGGACAGAAACGTGCGACGAAGCATCTGGTGAAGGCGTTTGCAAATTGCCATGTCATCCTCACTCTGTCCGGCGCGAAGGCCCATTAATTCGACGGGAAACGGTCCATGTCATGATTCCTACGTATGCAATATGCTGCGGCTTAGGTCGCAACGCAGTGCACTGTAACCGGCATTGAGATGAAACACAGCCGCACTTTTCGTCATACTTTGGGCACCATGTACTAAAAGTATGCACAGGTCCGAGGTGCTACATGTCGTCGATGATAATTCTCAGGTGCCATGCCCAAGGGCAGCCCATTTTGAGGTGAGGCTATTGAAACAGAAACCCGCGCATGCTACATGTCAGTGGACTGCTACCTGCAAAAAATCAGAAACTGATGCTGCAACGCAGTGAGGAAATCTAGTTGCATAAGTTTACATGGGTTACCGGATTCGTTTGTTTTAGTCTTAATGTCATCTCTTCCGCTGTAACGTTCTGCTATCATCTCGTGCGGCCCGTGGTGCAAAAAACATCTTACCGGCTCTTATTACAGCCACGCTACGCTGAATTCTCAAGAACCCATCGAAGGAAGGCCTGTTCGGTGAAGGGGACGTACGGGCGCGGGAAGTCATCCACTTCGACAGGCTGAAAGCGAATCCAGATGTACTGCTATCTCTGGGACATCGCTTCACCCGATCTGCGTGGAAGATGCCTCCTGGGTGGGGTGGACCAGTTCGATGAAGAACGTGACTGGTTGTGTGGTTATGGGGAAGACCACCTTGTTGGTGCCTGCGTGCAACGTGATGTGTGTGAACTGTGGCTCAGCACGCGCTATGCTGTTGGTTATGTTAGGGATATGGGTGCATTTATATGTTCACTATGCAAGTAGCGGTAGTTTCCCCCGAAGCATAGTTCCCTTGAGTGGCAAGTAAAAAGTTTAGTCGTCTTCTTTTGAAGTTAAGAGAATTGCTACATTGTTTTAAGCTGACCATATCAGATCCAGTGCGACAACGACCTGCACTAGCCGTCGGTAGTTTGTCATGGATCTGTGAATGCCATGGCAGAATGGGTGCATTTGTATTTGGAGGCAGCATATTAGTTAATTATGCATAGCTGTACATAGTTACGTTACAGTGGGTCGATGAACAGATACTTTCTTTTGGCACCAAACATGATGTTGCGTTCGGATGCGGTGTCATAGCCGTTGTCCGTGGCTTGTAGTGACACAGCTGACCAGCGGCGGTGGATGCGTGGCTGTAGCTGTCATTTTCGTTAAATATACATATGCGTCTTATACATTATGCTTTACATATGCCTTTTATATCTTTCATTTTGTATACATATGCAATAAATGATATGCAATAGATGTCTGCTGTGTTCAGATTGTCACCCCGCGATGAAGCACAATCGTCTTCTGGTAACCACGACATTGGCATCCAGATAGACGCGATGCATTCAGACGACAGATAATTTGGCTAGCTGTTGTGGCTGCAAGCCTAAGAGGAGCTACTGTTGGGCAATGTGGGACACTGACCGCCAGAAGGGCTTCTCGTTGTCGCGGGGGCCCCGACTAATGCAATCCTCGGGCTCGGCCTCGTCCATGCTTGGGAAGCGGGCTCTCAGGGCTGAGACCGGCGTGAAACCAACCGTTCGGTGTTGGTGATATCTTGCCGAAATAGGGGCCCACATTGCCCTAGCGGTCCCCAATCGGTGGGAGACACGTTCTGACTGATAACTGAGGTCACGGCTCTACCAGCGGAGGGTCGTAACCTACAGCCGGCACTTCGTCCCTTCAGTCTTCCGCCCAGGCCCTTGAGCTTTTGTCCCAAGGTCTTCGGGTCCCCTCGAACACGGCTCTTGACAGCCTCGGGACACCTTTCCAACGCGGGACCTTGTGTTAGGCACTTCGGGACCCTGGGCGGCATAGGGACCCCGGCTTTGTCCCTGCTTTAGAAATGGGTCTTCAGACCTAGACTGGCGAGGAGCCGGCTGTTTGGTTCTGGTGGTGCCTAACCAACCGATTGGCTCTTATCGACGCAGCGGGTCTCCTGCAATCGATGCAAAGAGCCCTCTGACTGGTACTTGTGGGCCAACCCAGCAGCGTCAGGCACCTTAATGTGACCCCCAGTCAGACCTTGGGGCACTCAAAACGGGCCCTCAATCATCGATACCAAGCGGTCTGAGCGAGCCCTTGGGGATCCAAGGGGGTGGGGGGCGTGCTATCTGTGCCCCCGCTGTCTGTGCCACGGAGGTATCATTGTGTGAGATTATTCAAGTGGTATGCAGGTTTGACAATTGTGATACTAGAAACTGCAGCGCAAGGCGCTGCTGTTTTCTTTTTGTCCAGTTCCCACGCAAACTATGGAGGGTTTTCCGGTGCGACGATGATGCGAGACTGCAGCATGGGGGAAAAGCGCATTATTACCTGCCGACGTGCTGCGACACATACCAGTGCATGACCTGTAAACGGTTTGATGACGTGGTGTTCATCTGCGATTTACGTGACACCGAAAGTTCTGCGCCGAAGCACGTCTGCTTGCCTCCAGAGATGAAGGGGGACGTAGCCAACATGTTTTCCACGTCCCCATCACAAATTCAGTGATCAGGAACTGTCACTATTGCTTTCGCCGGCTATGCTTCAGTGTCAGCAGCCATTGGCTGAGAACAGGCAAAATTTGGAAGTTACTAACCTGTGCTTTATGGCACAGGTGCGGCTCTTGTACATTCGGTGCCGAGCTGACGCCGAGATGCTGCTATGTTGCATAACGGGTGATTGAAATTGGCCATTTTCTACCGATTTCGGGTCCCGAGATGCAACCGCTTGTCAGTTGCTGGAAGCAACGAAATAGCCCTGCTGTGTCATGATGTACACAAAAGAACACATTAGAGGCGACGGCCTTGGTTAAAGCATACATCTTCGCTTCCATCGAGATTTGAACCCTCACCCCCGCGTTTTTGGAGGATGCGTAAGCCCAGTGCGCAGCCACCTTCTATTTTGGAGGGTGTGCAAGCACGGTGCGTAACCACCCCCGTTTTGGAAGGTGTATGAGCCCGGTGCGTAACACGCAGCCTTTCCCTTAAATTCGTCTATTTTTTCGTGCACCAAACAGCATTTGCCGGTTTAAGTAAATATTTTGTGCCGGATTACATGCATCGGACTTAACACCCCCACCTCCAGTTTCGGAAGATCGCCGAAGGATAGGAAGAGACACTGTGGTGGCCCACAAAAAACATGCAATGCAGCACTTTTGGAAGCATGAGGTCTGCAAATATGGCGTGCTTGTGACGATAAGGTGAAACCGGCTCGCGTCATGCCGCCTGTGAGTCAGCGCGCCAACGCGGTTGCCGCAGTCGCAGAGTTGCAGAGCTGGAAGGCGGGGTTGCTTGGGTCGCCTCCTGTCGCCTGGACTGTTCGCAGACACGTTCATCCGACGTTTCCTTAAGTACTCAGAATGTCGGTTACCCAAGTCCAGTCAACAGTAAGTTCAGCCGATTGCGATTATACGATGTCAGGTGTTCATGCGGCCCTCTGGAACATGGACTTTGGAATGCCGAGCTGCCTGATCCAATTGAGCGAGTATGTCTGATGTCATGTTCCCTGTGCAAGTACTCTGTGTATTTCTGAAGTTAGATATACCTTGTTCCACAGTGGGATTTGTATTTTGTGGTCTGAAATTTTTGCCTTGACTGATCATTATGTCACAAACTCATTGCAAGACATAATCCATTGTAAGCGTGAAACCATTTTATGATTGGTGGACAGGCAAGGAATTGGACAGCAGAAAACCAGTTGTGTCTGTGGTACTTCCGTGACTATGGGTTTGACACCCTATGACCTTTTTAGTTGCTCATTTACCTGTGCCTATGTCATATTTCCTGAGGTCATATGGCTGTCATGTTGGTTGCCATTCCTTAGTTGCCATACACAATTCCTATACTTTAAACCAGAGTTCTAAACTAAAGGGGGCCAGGCAGTTTCTGAAGCTGTGGCCACAAGTAGGCAGTCCTGGCCTCTAACTATGACATTCTGCCCTGATTGTGCTATGTGCAACATGCAGGTGATTTATGTGCTCCATTGGATGCACTTTGCTTGGAAACCTTACAGAAAATGTTAGGCTGAAGGCTTCAAAACAGAAAACTGGCTGTGTAGATAGATGGCGATGTGCGTGTGATACCAATACTTTGGTTGCTCATTCTCAAGTTCCAAAAAAGAATCAGTTCTGGTCAGCAGCATAGAGGAAGCAGGAAGCAGGAGCACATGTGGCTCATGATTACCACAAGATGGTGGTTGGAGGGCCTTAAGAAAAGCTTTCATATTTTAGGTCAGACTCATGATTTTCCCAGATTCAGGTGTAGTTGACACTGTTGAAAGTTAAAAATGACTTTAAAAAACATGTAGGATACTGCCAGCTAGAAACAGCTGGTATTTGTAACTTTTGACTGGTCATAAAATATAGTTATTCCACGAATGTTTTGTTTTCAGATGATACCAAGTCTATAAACCAATTGCATATGACAACTGTTGACCATCCCACAGGGTGTGTTCAATGTCAATGTGACTTAATTCTGTGAGAATCCTAGCTCTCTGGCAACCTCCACAGGCAATTCTTTGGCACCAATCCATTGCCCTTTGACCCCAAACCTGGGCACCTGACCTGCCTGGTCCATTTGACAAGCCTGGGTCGCTGTAATGCTGGGTTGATCGCCACCTGGTCCGATGCTGATTGGCTGGTTTTGAGCAAGGGAGAGGCCATAGGCAGAAAACCCTTATCTGGGAGTGTAATGGCGGAAAAAATGACACGTCCACGTGCCCCACCTGATATGAAAACACTGCAGCCCTACCAGATTTTGATACGCTGCTCATATCTGCCCCACGTCTTACCATTGCATATTTGCTCGCCTATATCACACTTGAAATCATAAGCTGCTCGTACCTGTAATGCTATTGGTAACCTTGAGGTCGCCAAGCATTGCATCTTCAGGGTGCAAGATGTAAGAGTGTTGATTGCGCCTTAAGTCGTTGATGTGTTCATTGATTGTGAAGGTGGAAGGAGCGGCGAGAAATGCGCTCCCTCCCCCTCCTACCTCCCCCGGCAGCCGGCACATGGGTTGTTTTAGGTGATGTGGATCAAAATAACGCTGGAGCGTGCGCTAGGTATTTGCGACTTAGGGGGCCTGAAATGACACAGGCTGTGGGAAAGGAATCTGCTATTAGGACAGGCTGTGGGAAAGGAATCTGCTATGAGGGCAATATCCTTCCCAGCTGTTAAACGGCTGCCAGCGTGCATCATGCGATCACCTTGATGACAACTGTTTCAGGATGAGTTTAAGAGCAAGCTGAAGGAGGCCGCCAACAAGCTGGTTGTGGTGGATTTTTATGCCACCTGGTGCGGGCCGTGCAAAATGATCGCCCCGAAGATCGCGGTGAGTACCATCTGGCACGTTCCAGGAAAACCGATCCTGCGCCCCCCCCCCCCCCGCCCCCAGCGCAATATTCGCTTGGATAAGATCGTGACATTATCTTGTTCTGGAGATTCGCTTTTGGTTTCCATGATACTGGTACGTCATTCATGCGTTTTCGAGAGGTTTTCGTAGTCCATATAGGTACGCTCATGGTCATGGGTTAGGAACAGGGGGGGGGGGGGGAGGGGCCCATGGCCCTCCCAACTTTCAAGGTGGGGGCAGCATTGTTAACTGCCCCCCCCCCCCCACACACACACTTTTCAGATTGATGCCGTGCTTGGCTTACTTTTGCATTGCATTTAACATATATGCTGATTTATCCAGTTCACCAGCCATCTTCCTCAAGATGCGTCATCTTTTTCGGTTGCTCATTGGCCACCACTTACATTCGCGGCGTGGGGAGACTGCAAGGTCTGGCGTCGAGGTTTTTGTTAAGATTTGTGAGAGCACATGCTCAAAATTATGTCACATAGCTTGCATCATCAATCGATTTAAATGTCTAAAGGTAATTGTTTCAGAAGCGTCATCATTTTCGTCTGCCGATGGGCCACAGCTAAAAGTTAGCCACTAGACTAACGCTCCACGGACTATGGAAACTGCAACGCTTGGTGTGGGGGTTTTTGTTGCTGAGATTTGCGAGCGCGCATGTTAAAAACCACGTTACATAAATTGTATCACGTATCGATTGTACCGATTCTGACTGGATGTCGAACATTTCCAGCCAAACATGGCTTGGTCATGTTAATGCACATTGTTGACCGCTCAATCTACAATCAAGTTTTCATCTTCAAATTTCGATCAAACATATTGATCTACAATCTTCTTCCGCGATGTTCTTTATGCTTGAAGAACCTTGCACATTACATAAATTTTATCACGTATCGATTGTATCGCTTCTGACTGGATGTCGAACATTTCCAGCCAAACATGGCTTGGTCATGTTAATGCACATTGTTGACCGCTCGATCTACAATCAGGTTTTCATCTTCAAATTTAGATCAAACATATTGATCTACAGTCTACTTTCGCAATGTTCTTTATGCTTGTAGAACCCAGATAAAAAGTTCCGACGAAGGTTCTGAATTCTGTCGTTTTAGAAAGAGTTCACTAAACCATTGTAAATTAAAGGTGCCGGTGATTTATCTCATGCGATCCTTCAACGCCTGATTTTTGCAGTTAATGCAGACTTCAAGATGCATACATAATTGATCTAACGGTAGTTTTTGTTTTCTGTTCTAGTTGCAAAGTAAGAATAGCAATAAAACGAAGAAAACCGTTTCCCTTGTCAACAAGTAACCTATGTGCGGAGCTTTTTTATTGGGGGGGAGGGGGGAGGTCACCACAAGAGGAGCTTTTTCGACCCCTTTTCTTCTCTGGCAAGGCTCTGGCTACGCCGCTGCCCACACGCAAAAGCAGATCAAGCCGTCAACATGGAATGATGGGCAATTAAATGTCCGGTGGACCAATTCATACCCGAGGCAGGCAGCTTGTGGGAAGCCTCTTCTGCGTTGGTTTGGTGTAAGGGAAGATAATTCGAAAACGATTCTGTTGCAGGTGTCTAACCTATGTTTTACGGACCAATGAGTAGTAATGCTGATCCAAAAATATGCAGCAAAGCAGCCATATGATCAGTTCGCCGTCAGTCATGCGGGAGACAGCCTTCCCAGGGCAGTGGCCGCCGACGGCGGGTAGGAGCAGGGCCCGGGTGAGGAATTTATGACAGAAAGGTGTTTGTTCTTTGGCTTGGTTTTTTAAGCAGGATTTGTAGTTGTACGACTTTTGTCACACTGTTTTTGGCAGTTTCAAGCTTCCCAACTTGTTTCCGTCTAAAACGCCGCGACGTCTTATCTCTTGAAAATCAGCCAGCGAAATGAAGGCGCATTAAAAATTTGTCGCACTGTGAGCCGTCGATTCGCTTTCAAAATTCTCACCAACCTATGTCCAGGCCGTATTTTGGCATTTACCTTGTGAAGGCAAATGCCACCTCAACGACCCAAAATGCCTACCCGCGCATGGAATTTCACCTCCCCAGGAAAGACAATGTTGAGATGGATGAATAGTTCTGGGAAACTGGACAGCCTTATTTGCCGAACGATATAGATGAGTCGAACAGGGAAGATTGTGCAGTAGTTAGAAACAGCTCTATGTGCATAGGTAACAAAACAGCCGTGACATTTGAATAAAGAGCGACAACAACGTCCATCTCTACCCCCCCCCCCCCCCCTGGTCATCGGGCTTGCTTTCCAGAAAAAGTTCCTGAAGTATGCCTTGAGCTTAGCCCCCCCCCCCCCACTTTTTGAAACATTCCTTTGCCTCTGTTCATGGCGTAAGTAGAGGGTATAGTCAAGTGTTTAGTCAGCATAGTGTTGGTTGACTGTCTTCGTTTTTAGCTGTGAACAGGTTGTGTGAACTGACAGATTTGCGGTTCATATTGCTTAGACATTTACAGGTGTGATTTTTACCGCGTTGCGTGTATACGGCGACAGCGCCCTGTGTAGTGTATGAGAGGGCTCACGAATTATGAACACCTTGTGGGAAGATTGCGTTGTGCCAGATTGGCACTTGCAGGAATGCATTTTTTAAAGGGAATGTTTCACATTTGAAGATGTTGAAACGAGGATTAGATATGACGAAGCAAGCTCACTTTTAACTATTGGTATGCTCGTCAAGTGGAAAAGACTGGTCTGGACAGCACAGTCCTCTGTTTAGTAAATATGCTCCTCAATGCGCCATGGTTTGGTAACGTAATCGTTCCTCGCACAACATTGATTGAGAGCCAATTGGTGGCCGTTTTATCTGGAAATCGCGCTCACGAACGCCAGACATGAACGCCTCGACGATTGTGTTTTTTGACCTTGATCGCCGCGCGGGTTATGAATTGAAACCCTCTCCCTGAAATGCCTTTCCCATTTTCACGGTGCGTGTAGCTCGGAAACTGGAGGGGCTAAGTCTTAATAAGGCAGGATTGTGAACAGCACCGGGAGGTCGTCAAGATGGCTATTTCCGTTCAAATGTAGGATACTCCCTTCAACATTTACCTGCATTTGCTCCAGTTCCGTAGTCCATGCGCCCAAGAACCCCAAATCATCATCATAATCATCATTATCGAGTCACTGAAGGAGGAGACCAGTGCCAGCTGTGATCCGTTTATGGAGCCATCACTCGCCATGCAGCCACCGCCCCTGTCGATGACGGTCCTGCAGCGCCTTGTCATCAATTCTAGCTTGAATTTGCTCCTATTGTCCGTACAAGTTATGCTGTGGTGTCCCTCAGGGCCGTGGTGATAGGCTATTCTGCAACCCATTTCTGTGAATGGAAATCTGGGGTCAATCCGGACATTGGCCTTGTGGTCAGCCTGCACCATCGCCTGAGGCCATTCACCGAGCCACGTGAACCGCCAGTGAGTGTCTGCCGTAACGTTCCGACGCGGGTCATAAGCTGTCACGAAAGCTCCGTTCGCTAGGGCGATCGTAGCCGACGGCGGCGCATCAACAAGTGATTGCCAACATAACGAAGACAAATCCGGCGATGTAGCTGAAGTTCCCGGTCATTGTTTACGCAAATCGAAGGTACAGATAGGCGCCCAGAGACAGCCGAGGGCTGGCGTTTGTATTCTCTTCTTCGGCTGCGCTGAACGGGCGAAATGGCTAATTTTCGTGGAACCATCAACGCAGTCGTGTGGTTTGACCACGAGGGAGGCATGGCAGAAGGTGCCTTCTGCTATTCTAGTGGATTGGTGCAACAAAGACGTGCATGGTCCACATTTTCCAACCGGACTACGTTACAGTGAGCAATAACCTAGAAGTCATTCAGACACTGGTTATGTCCAGCCCACCTTGCATTGTTGCAGGAAGCTCATCATTAATTGATTCCAAACTAAAAAAGGACCTAGATTGAACTGGCATAGAGTAGGCCCATACATTTAAAATCGCAAGATACATATGGTGATGATTGACTGTTTTGGAGCGTGCAGACGGTCTTGGTTATTTGGAGCCCATCAGCGCATACGCACTGGTGGCGAGGCGCGCCGAACCGTTGCTTCGAGAGCTTTGATGGTGTACCCCAAGCCCAGCTTTCTAAGCTGAAATGTCAAGCCAGATTTCCTAACTGAACGTCTAAACGGTCCAAGCCAGAGTAGCGGCTGAGCTGAACTGCGCCTGCGCAGATCATCTGCTGACCCCTCTCGCCGGAGCGTCGCCAGTGGGCCGCCACAGGCAGCCGGCGAGGAACCACTGGGTGGATGGCTATGGTCACATGGCTGGGGGCCCCGTCCACACCGTCCGTAGCGCGGCGATCGCAGCCGTTGTGGCGGCGCCTTATCGCTTGTTGGGAGGCGGCGGCGCTAGTGCCAGCCGACGGGCGACGCGTGCAGGTTCGGCGAATAGTGACCGTGACCGGGGCGGAGGTGACCATGACCGAGGTGAAGGTGACCATGACCGTAGTGGAGGTGACCATGACCGGAGCGGAGGTGACCGTGACCGGAGTGGAGGTGACCGTGACCGGAGTGGGGGTGACCGTGACCAGGGTGGAGGTGACCGTGACCAGGGTGGAGGTGACCGTGACCGGAGTGGAGGTGACCGTGACCGGAGTAGAGGTGACCGTGACCGGAGTGGAGGTGACCGTGACCGGAGTGGAGGTGACCGTGACCGGAGTGGAGGAGACCGTGACCGGAGTGGAGGTGACCGTGACCGGAGTGGAGGTGACCGTGAGCGGAGGTGACCGTGACCGTAGCGGAGTTCGTGACCTGGCCGCCGATCCGTCGACCCGGGGGGGGGGGGGGCGGTGGGCCTCTTGGCCTGCATCGCTCGCCACGGGCGAGGGCAGGACTGGCGCGTGGCGCCCGCCTGGAGACGAGACGCGGCGCGCCGGGCCGCCGGCGGCTGGAGGTGTCCCGTCGCGCCGCTGCTCTGAGTCATCAGCTGGGGGCCCTGTCTCGGGGCCAGCGGCCGATGTCGACCCCA